TCCTTAGATTTTTAAATTGAAATGTAATGTGATAGAAACCAGCTGTAGAGAGTTTTGAAATATGTCTACATGTTTAAAGCGTGTTTTTGAACAAAAGCATGGATGCGTTTTTAGAAGAACTACAGTACATCATTGGTGGTACATTCCAATGTAATTTCCCATTAGCGATGTGCTTCCTGTTAGGTCCCGGCTCCAGCCTAGAAAGCACAGGTGATGGGGGCTCACTTCTTTTTTATTGTTATTATTATTTTAAAATATATTTTATTGATTATGCCATTACAGTTGTTCCATTTCCCGCCTTCACTCCCCTCCACCCTGCACACCCCTCCTCCACCATTCCCCCCTTTAGTTTATGACCACGTGTCTCAAGTTCTTTAGATTCTATATTTCCCATACTATTCTTGCCCCCCCCATCTATTTTCTACCTACCGTCTATGCTACTTATTTTCTGTACCTTCTCCCCCTTTCTCCTTCTCCCACTCCCCTGTTGCTAACGCTCCATGTGATCTTCATTTCTATGGTTTGCTCCTGATCTAGCTGTCCTCTTAGTTTGCTTTTGTTTTAGGTGTGGTTGTTAATAACTGTGAGTTTGCCGTCCTTTCACTGTTCAGAAACAAGGCCCTCAGGAACAAAAGCCGTTAGAAGATGTAAGCAGAGTGAGATTGTCACCTTACAAACTCTTTTGAAAGCTTCCCTCACAACTACCACAATCTCTTTTAGACATTCCAAGTGTTCTCTTTCTCTCTCTCAGAATTTTCAAATTCTGACACAAACTTTCAGATTTTACCAAGTTCAAAACATCCGATTAGAGATAAGAAATCCTAACCAACCTAAATTTCTCAATACAATACCAATACAAGTACAAATATGAGGAATATAATTAGAAGAGACCTTTTCTCTTAAAACTTGGGACAATAAATTATGATTAAATAGAAAAAATTAAATGGCTGTGGTTATACTTAAATTTAGTGTGTATAAAATACATAAAACAAATCTATCACATGCCTGTTTGTACAGCAAAACATTCAATTCAGATTTCTATGGATTTCATAGAATGCATTGCACATGAACTCTTTGCATGTCAAAAATTCAAGAAAAAATATCCAGTTTGTAGAATTGACAGCAATGGACTAACAGGAAATATGTCATTTAACAGACATGTAATTGATTAAAGTATTACTAGTACAAGAGAATGATCACTTCAAGATTGATTAAGCAATGCTATATTTTTATCAATCTTCAAATTCTGAGTACTTAAGCCAAAGGACTTCTAATTCTCTCCAAATTTAAAGAATGCAATGGAAAACTGACTTAGCACCAGAATTCTAGGGATCAAAAGATCTTATAACTATGATAGTAAAAAATTATCTTCTACTTATATCAATACCATCTTTTCAATCAATGAATTATTATCCCATTTCAGGTTGTAATATTTGAGGTACAAGTGTAGAAGCACATTCAATGAAATATAATGAAAAATCAAGACTGAAAATTGTGACCGTTGCACTTAAATACATAAGAAATCAGTTTTCTAATAACAATGATGGATGGTCTCCTGTGAACCACAGAAGGTCAGTATAACATTGGTAACTTCAATTTATTCTACCTACACCTAACAGAAATCCATTGAAGACGAGCACATTTTTTTTTCATTCACACTCTGGTCTCATGCTACTGCTCCATGCTTGCCTTGGCCTTTTGCCTGTCAACCTGCCCTGGACTTGCCGACTGCCGAACTTGCTCTGTTCAGTCTTCACACAGAGCCCTAACATGGTACTTCTCTCTACCCGGTTCATCAGTTGCCACCTCTAATATGTTCCCAGCACTTCCTTGAGGAGACTTGCTCTGACTTTACCACTAGGTCAGTTTCTTCTGTCACATATTCTCTAGGGCACTTTTCCTTTTTCAGTACTACTCACATATTTGCTAAGTAGTTAGTGGAGGCAATAATGTTTAACAGCTATAAACTGAACTCCAAAGGGACTGAATTGTATTTCACTCATAAACTGTTATGTCCTTGGGATTTAGCACAGAACCTGGCGTATAGGGTTTAACTGCATAAGTGAAGTGAATGAGGGAAAGAAGAAAATGAGCAAAAGTACTAAAGTGGCATTAGGATACCTGGGCTTATAACTTTGAGATAGAGAAGTCTGAAGATTTCATTGCAGCATCCAGATATTAGAATTTGTCTGGAACAAATACCACATATATGGCCACAGACATATACATTGTCTGCATCATGCTGGAGTGCTAATTTTATGTTCTGAACGCTATTACCAGAACGCCATTACTTTCTCACTTTTTCTTTTGTCACAGCTCCTTAACTCACGGTCCTGGTTTTCCACCTGTACTTTGCTAAATGATGCTTTCTGCATGTTCTTTCTGTTTAAATATTTGTTTATTCTCTCACTGGGCAGATATTTATTGAACATCTGCTATGTGTTATCTGAATCAATATAGCATTTTATAGATTGCGGTGAGTGTGCTGGTCAAGTAGAAAGAATTATCATTTATAATCCCTGGGAGGAGATCCTCTACTCTTAGAATTCTTATTCCAAATATTCAACCAGGGGTCAAATTATGTGATTTTGTAAGTCAGTTAACTTATCAGAGTATCAGCTTGGTATGTATAAAGAAAGATTTGGGTAATGTTGGAAGATTTGAAATTGCTTTGACTTCTAAAGTAATATAATTCCAGTCTATTATATAGGCCTACAATGAGTGTTTCAAATTCAAAGACTGACAATATAAGTAGCAAAGCAAAAGTGGAATTCAGTAAATACTCTTAAATTGCATTCACTAAAAGACCAGGACAAAGAAAAATATATGTTTTTCTACTCACCAGAAAGAGAGAAGGAACATTCCTAAAACATGATTGTGAAACTATAGACACTTTTCATTTGTTTTTCCTTCTTCTTTCTTTATGAGAAAGGTTAGCCATAATCAGATATACTGGAATACATGCCTAGAAAAAGGACATAGGAAAGCCAAACCAACAGAAAGTACCTAAAGAACATTTGAAAATGCAAGATGAATTCAAAATATCAGGAAGAAACTTAACATGCTAACTTGGAGAATGCTTGAAGACTGGAAAGAAGTCCATCTATTTCTGAAATGGGGAGAAAAGGTTAGAGGAAAAGATGCTATTGCATAGAAGTATCTTAGATATTTCTCAGAGGAACCAAGTCCTCTGCCAAACATTTTTCAGTTCAGTGTGAATGTAGGAGAGAGGAAGTTGCTATACCTGATACCAATAAACACACGGTATGAGGGCATGGGGCGGAGAAAAGGCGGGGTCTCTCACATGAATGCAAATTTATATGCCAAAGACACAAAGCCATGCCTTTTTATAATATGGTCTCAATGCATGTTTTCATCATAGCACACACAGCATAGAAACCATTTTGGACCATTCATTCTTCAACCACACCTCGTGATTCCTTCCTCTTTCTTTAATTACCTGTCTCCTCCTGAAGTGTGCATTTCTCATACTACCTTTCATGAACTCCTCCTGAGGGCCTATCCATCCGGTTACCTCCTAAAGTCTTTCAGGATGTCCGACACCTGGACATGCTCAGAACTCTCTTAGAACTCCACACCCTCCTAACAAGTCTCACTTTGTTTCTTAGTTGTTGTTGTATTTGTCTTATTCCTCCCACCCCTGCCTGGTTTTGTAAAGTCAGACCCTAAGCTCCATACTTTATACTTTTATCTACTCTATACTTTTATCCACTGTGGTAATAGCATAGAACTTTTTCTATGCCAGATGCTGCATCAATGTTTCTTTATTTATAGAATTGACTAAATATTATGAGAGACACTGGGGAATCACAATTGTTAGTCTTCTCAGCAGCCAAAACTTAGTTCAGGTGTCCTTCATAAGTTTCCCAAAACATTGCAGCCATCTGTAGGGATACAATGATGCCTTGTTCTTATTTTCTTTCAAATCCCTTAGAATACAGACAGAAAGGGAAGACACCCTTTTGAACAGTACTGACTGAGAAAATGGAGATATTCTGGGCACTCTCATAATCTGATATTCAAGTGGGTTAAGTATTTTTCTAGCACTAAAATGTAGTGATTTAAATAACATCACGTTAGAATCTGGAAGAAAGACGGTGCTATCAGTTATGCCAAATGGTATCGAAATTGACAAGCAGAAAACACAGAGTGGATTCCATCCAGAACATTATGTTCCCCTATATGCCTTTCCTGAAGACAGAGACATTACAACCACACTGGGTCACCAGGTCAGTGTCTCTGCCATCTGACTTAGACGTGTGTCCCACATGGCGGTCACCCTAGGCAACTCCTCCAACTTCAGCTCCTTAAGGAACTCGAATCATTCCAATGGACAGGGTTTGGGGTTTTTTTTGCTGGAACTTTATGGAATACATATTTAAAGGTAGCATTTGAATATTCAAATGTTCTAATGAAGATATATAAATAGTTTATTACTCTACCACAGTACCTTCATTCTACTTAAGGAAATTAAATCACAGATTTAATCAAGTTCATCTTTTAAAAGGAGAAAAATTAGAATTCAAAGTGCTCCACACAAGATTCACAGTGCGTCACAGGTCAGCATTCAGAGGAAATCAGGGGACAAGTGTGTTGTTTTTCAACACTTAATCCTGCTCGTTGTCCCTCAGAGGAAAGCCGGTAGCTCTACGTGCTAGCTCAGGTGCAAATTTAAAAAGATGAGATAGTTTCTTCCTACTCTACTGTCTATTTACTCATATTTTATAAATATTTGGAAGTAATTTTACATCTATATCTGAATATTAAAAATACAATCTGTTTAGCACACAGTATAGTTTTATGAGTCATGCATATGAAATAGTACTGTTAAGAAAACTTTGTAACACAGTGATTACCTGCCTTAAAGAAAAATAAAGTTATAAAATAATAAGGCCATCTTTAAATTGTGCATAGAACCAGTAATTGTGTATTTAAGGCAATTAAATGATTTATTGAAAATTGGTTAAAAGTAGATTGACAATGACATTAAAGAATAAAGTGTAATTTATTTGGTGCTACTTTGTGAAATTTTTCATCTACAAATCATCTCATGATTCTATATACAATATACTTTCAATCACAACTCAAACATAAAATAACCTACAAAATCACATGGCTATAGTCAATATACAGTCCTTATCTTTTGAAAAGAAAGTTAGCAATTAAGGTGTAGTAACTTTTCTCAAATAAAATATTAGCACCATACTAGATAAAATGATCTAAAACTATTGGCTTCCTCATACTTCTTAAATAACTAAATATAAACATTTCTTTCAAAGCACAAATATTAATTTGCAAAATCAGTCCTATAGTAGTTAATATTTCTCTTTCTTTTTTCTGCATTTATTTCCCAGTAAGGAAAAGTATGAAGTAAAAACTTTCACAGGGTCTGAAAATCAAACAAAAAAATCTAACCAAACCAAATGTCCTTCAGCAATGAGTTCCAACAGAAGCAAAAGTGGACATTTCGCGGCGTATGGTGCTAAACGGTGAGAGCTCCAGCTCCGTGGTGTATTCATTGTCATTGTCGTCGCTGGTCACTGTCGAGGACTTCTGGATGCACTCGTCGCAGCAACAGCAGCAGCAGTCCATGAAGGCCCGACTGAAGGGCTTGCACAGGCAGAACAGAAGGACTGGCGTGACGCAGGACTTAAAGAACAACAGGAACTGGCTGATGATATTGAGAAGGTCCACTGTCTGCTGGGAAACCCCTGTAGCCATGTAGGCGGTAACAATGTTGCAGATATTTTCAGGAATAATGCAAAAGCCATATAAAATGGTCAAAGCCACCACTGTGCAGTTCATCTGGCTTTCTAGCTGAATCTGCCGCTTATTCCCTCGGCTACAAGCTTTCTCTGCTTTGCGGATTTTCCTTGCGGTCACTAAGGAGCAGGTGATGGTGAAAAGTGTGGGCAAACAGAAGTAACAGCCAAAATACCACCAGAGCCTCGCACTGTCATAGGTGAGGGCTAAAACATAGATGGTGTCCGGCAAATCCGGAGAGATCTTTATAACGCAGCGCTCCGCAGGAGCTCGGCCGCCGAAGCCCAAATCCTCCTTGCTCAGCTGGCGAAGAACAACTTCTGGAAGAGCCAACAGCAGCGCGCCAACCCATATGACAGCAAGTTTGGCAGCTGTGGAAGAACAGTTTTCGATCATCTCATAGTACATTTGTACATTGGTGGCGGCCCGGAAGCGGTCTATGCACAGAGCACATAAGGTGAAGGTCGTGACTCCAAGAGAAGCAACCTGTGGAGGGACACAGAATATGGATGATCTCACCTGTGGGTGGCAGCCGAAAAAAATCAAACACTAAAGCAATAAATACAGAATGGTGAGTGAGTGAGAGAGGAAGAAAGGGAGAGAGAGGTAGGTAATTTTCTGGAATAATAAGGCATGGTCATTTTAGAACTGAAAGGATCCATAAAGATCATTTAGCCCAATACCATTTTATCATAGAGAAAAACACAGAGACCCCAAGAATTTCAGTCACCATGAAAATGCCTGCCAGTGGACGATCTAGATCAGGAGTAAGGACAAGTGAGTGTATCCCGTTTTCATCAGTGAAAGGATGGCCATGTTTTCCATCCAGTGTGAGGGTCAACAGCACACCTTACACAGAGCAAACATTCAAGAGCTTATTGTTTCCAACAAACTAGATGAGTAGAGATCTCTTTTAATTTTTCCTAAATGCAAATAAAAATGTTTTAATATTATCTTCCATACAACTATGAAAAACAAGAAAGGAAGATTCTCCAGAGGTCAAAATCAAGGAGAGTACAAATGCCAAACAAGTCAGTGACACCCCCACCCCATGGGGCATGGTTTTGCCTTAGGGGCATCTGCCAATCCTGATGAGATGTGCTGGAGAAAAAAAATTGATCAAGTGAGATAGTGGAGAAACTTGTCTGGATTTTAACCTTTGAATCTGGGTGATCTGGGGAATTGAGAGGGAAGGGAAAATTCTAACCAGGAGCCTGAATGTACACTGAACTAGAGCCAGAAATCACACCATCTATGTGGTTCAGAGAAACTCAAAATGTAACTTAAAATTGCCCCAGGCACCACTCAAGTGAACACAAATCCTCTCTGAAAGAAGGAGGATTTTAAAACTAGGCCTCAAAGAAATTGCACAAGTAAAATTCCAGGAATACGGATTCAAAATTTAAAATCACAATATGCAAGGAACTATCCACCACTATGAGATCATACGTCAGAAGAAACAAGTTACAGAATCAGATATAAATACAGTTACCATGAAATAAATATGATCAGGAAATTTAAAGAAATATGAAATGAGGGAATATCAAAGAAAACAGAGTACTAAAAAAACATAAACACATGCCCCCAAAAGGAACCAAATACAATGTCTAAATACTCTACCCATAGGAAGACTTCAGATCAGAAAACTCACGCTGACCACAGAGAGTGCCGAATTCAAAGAGGAATGACTCTTACACACATATGGTCCAGATAGCTCAATAAATCGAATCGGAATGTACGAACCCAAAACATGTATACATATTGTTTCACACAGAGGTTTTTCCAGGAATATTAATGCACATTCCAAATGTAAACATACTATCATTCAATAATTTATGCGTAAAATATTGCCCATCATGCATACACTTTAATAGGGAATGGAGGTATGCATTCAACACAGGCACGCGTGTACCGATAATGACTCTCTGCACAGCGCTCTGCTAGATACTGGAGGGAGAGAAAAGAGTAAGAGACAGTTTTTTCACTCAGAAGTGGGAAGATGGTTCTTAGTGATCATCTGGGAACCTCAAATTTGCTCAACTAATTTGGGGGAAATGGGAGTGATGTAATGTTCAATAAATGTGGCCATTATGTATATAATTTAAGCAAGGACAATGGATAGAAGGTAAAAGATTCATAAGGATTAGGAAAAAACAGGAGACTAAAAGAAAACTCCCTTTGTGGACAGGGTGCTTGGGGCTGCATCCCAGGCACCTGAGTGTAGGTACTCACTTTTCCCTCTGCTAGTGTAAATGTTTAAGCACAGCTATAGGTTAAATGCCTTGGCAAAGTAACAAGGAGCAAATGTTGAAAAAAGGAAAACCATTTGTTATAACAAGGTTAGCACTCAAAACATGAGTTGCTTATGTACTACATTCAAGCTGTTTCTCTACCCAGAACAATGGCAACTTGCCTTGTGGACTTGTTTTTTGAGAGAAAAATAAGTTTATTTTTTAAACAAATTATCCAACTCGAATCCTTCAGATAATTACTTTGACCCAGTCTCAGCTACAGGCAGGTTCTAATGGTAGTAACTGTTGTAAGAAAGTTCCATTTAAATCCTTATTTTTTTTATCACTCCAGTTAAGTTTAGAAAAATGTTCTGTCATCCTGTGTGATCGCCTGTTGTGCTGCATTTTGATGAAACGCTTGCAGCTTTTTGTAAATGGTTATCCCTATTTTCTTTGTATCAAAAGAATTTTTAACCTGTAAAGTTCTAATTTTCTCCCAGAATGTCTCACTATTTCACATCTCCTGTAATTTTTTTGCAAATTTCTGACAACTGCCCAATGTTATCCAATTAAGAAAAGAGAAGATCTACAGGATTATGTTGTCAAGCATGTATACTAATGTATCAAATTTTCCCTGACTCAGACTCAAAGAATAATTCAGTAGTTCTTTCCTGAACGCTTTCTGTATCTGCCCATGCAACTGCTTGTTCAGCAGGAAATCTTCATGGGGTTTCCTCATCTTTCTCGGAAGGGTTGTTTCTTGTTCCAGAGGGAGAGAAAGCATCCATGACTTCCAGATAACCTGTATTTGTGATGACCAGGTGGCGGAAGTCCTTGCTCGAGCAGGGAGCCTGGCTTCCAATCTCATACAGAAGGCTGGGCAGAGCGGAGTCCCGGGCTCCCCCTCAGCCCCAGTACCCAGCAAGCCTTGTGGATTCTGAGAGTTCCAACATCAAGTACTCTCTCCTCTTCTTAGTCAATACACGTTAGTCAGTGTCCACTACTCTTAATATGGAAAATAAGGACATGGTACCCATGCCCTGACTATTCTACTATTATTGGAGACAGTCTAAACATGAGATATACTGAGGAGTTTAACTGTATGAAAAATAGGACTATCAAAGATCTAGGTCCGGGCAGAACAAGAGGTCACGACTGAGTTTATAACCACAATTTCTACTGAACAATACCTTCAGGAAGTTTTAAATAAACACTAGTATAAGAAATATCTACTTAATATGACTTCTATATTAAGTCTTCTATTAAGAAAAGAGTCATATTTACATTCACGTGTTGAAGATTAACCTTTGAATTAACAAGTTGCTCACCTTGACGGAAATTTATTTTGCACCTATGCTGAAAACTCAGAATAATTCTTAAAATTGTCCCAAGATTAGATTATATTGTTTAATGTCAGTAATTGCCACATTTTGAACGGAAATCTGAGAAGGACTTAGCGTTTTCTGAAAGTCTTATGTCAAACAGTATTATGTGGAAATAGCAATATTCTGTTTTCAAGATTTTTGAAACTTTACATTTAAATTTTAGCTTTTGAAATATTTTGATTATTTTTTCAATAAGAATGCAAAACAAAAAAACCCTCAAATTCTCAAATGCGCACACATCCCCAGCGAAGCTTTCTGTACAGTCTTTGCTAAAGGCAAGTTTGTGTGTGTTCCCATCACTATGTCTCCTGAGTCAGTCCACAAACACAGAGCTACAAGGTTTATGCTGTGCACCCTCTCTAAATTATGGATAATATTTCTATTAAAAGGATAGCTTGGTGATATAAAAATGCTAGTTGCTCTAAGGAGAGGCAATCTCTTAGAGGCTCAAAACATCAATTTTCTTGGCAGTTTTCTGTCATTACTTAAAAGGAACACACCAGGGATAGCATCTTCTCCCCAATTACTCTCCCTGATTTAAAATGTGAAGTCTACAGATTTAAAATCTGGACCAATTATCACAAGAGCTAGCTAGTATTTGCATACCTAAGCACAAGTCACTTGCAAAACATCTCTGGAGAAGTAATAGTAAATGAATGTGGGTGGGATGGACATGTATTAAGATGGGTGTGTTCAACTGCCAGTCCTTCGATGTGATAAACTGTGCTGCAAACTCACTCTTAATCAGAAGATAGTCACTGCTTCGAAAAGCAAAACAGGGTTTTCTAGGTTCTGTATATTTCATCTCACATGATAACAAAAGCTGGGACAAAATTCAAGCCATCGGATTTACATGTGCTCTGACTTTTTTGCTCAGCAACTCTTTTGCACTGTATTTTATTTGAAGGTGCTCAGTTCTTCAGCCATATCCCTAAAAGCTTTAGTCCTGAGTCAGAACCTCAGACACGTCTGATCTGTAATCCTCTTGATGACTCATGGATTTGAGGAAACCTTCCCAATTTTCATAGACTAATTTCAGGAAGCTCCTGCACACAGCTTCCTGTTTTCAAGTTGTACTTCTCTCTGATACTATTCTCTGCCATCCACATCCAGCTGAAAGAGGGTGAACTGTCCAAGAAGGGAGCTACAGAGAGAGTTTTAAAGGAGTCTCTAAAAAATGAAAAAATAAAATGCTACCCCAAATGCAAGGAGAGCTTACAACTCAGTTGTCACAGCAACTGCAGCCCCGTGCCGGTCTTAGGTGTCTTACTGCTGCTGTTACTGCCTGCACTGCTCTTACTTCAGACGGTTTTCCACAAATTCTCTTCTGCATTCCATTTCCAAATGTGAGAGAACCAGAAAGGTGCAAATTCCTTGCACAGTGCTTTCCCAAATCATTTACAAAAAGCTTTAAACATCTGTAAGGAATTAACTGCATACCTCAGAAATTAATTGATAAAAATCATCTGGATAATGGATGTGCTAGTTTCTGCTTACTCTGATATGAAATACATCCATGTAACTAAAATTGCTAAATGTTGGGGTAACATGAAAATATTTCTGTCACAATTTTTAAATATACTTGTTTACATACAGCTCATTAGAAATCCTACCAAGATGAATGGTGCAATTATATGCAATTATAAAACTGTATCACGAATGCTGGATCTTCTGCACTTAATGACCATAGCTCATTGCTAAAATTCAATATCACTATAAAATATGCTCTTGAGAGTAAAGCTGTTAAGCATTAGCTTAGATGTTAGTTCTTTGAAGCAACATCCTGAGATATGAAATGAGTAAGATGCAATCTCTTATTAATTAAACTGCAATGGGAGGAATAATTAACATCCACAAAAGCAGACTGTAA